ATATTATATATGTTTTCTTCTTTCTCTTTTTTTTTTTTTTTTTTTTTTTTTAATTAGGTACAATTGTTCGTGATCTCGCGGGGGAGATCACCCAGCGAGGATATTATTTGCGATATCACGACAGCGTTTTTCCCTTTCGACGTTTCTTGTCCTTCTTCCTAATTTTTTATCTTGTACGTTCCACAACTACATGTTACCACTACTCTTCTATAGACTACGATTTATTGTCTATGGGCCAATCATATGGACCCTTGTTGCTTATATAACAACGATACAACGTGTGAAAAAAAAAAGAAGAGAAAAAAAAGAAATAATGGATAGTACACGAAAGTTCGTCAACTGGCTTCGGAGGGAGATCGACGAGGATAAAATACTCGTGACAAGAGAGAAAAATGGGAATCTAGCCGAAACGAAGCGAACGATTCAAACGTTCGTCCCCCAATAATAGCGCAGGACGAGGAGACGGCTGTTTTAGGCAATAACCCCGTCTGCTACCGACACCGATTGCCCGCCATTTTCGGGTCCGTCTTCAATGTTCTCGATGTGAATCTGAACGGAGCGTTCTCTTGCATTTGGCTGACATTAAATAATCGAGGACGCGTCAGGATATAGCGGTATCCTGTCGTACGGGTCGGGACTCGAAGATCCTTCCACGAGAATTGAGGCGGCAGTGGCTAGGTTGAGTGGCAGGACAACGACGACGTTGGCTATGAAACAGTAGCTGGTGCTATCGCTTCGGACCTGCCCCCGAGTTCCTTGATTCGTGTCAGTCGCCAGGATCGGTGAGCTTTCGCCAGCCAATTCGTGGCGTGGTCACTGCTCGTTCACCTTCGCTCATACCGCGTCGCACAGACGCCTGTTTCGAATCCCTGTCGGCCGATCTCGGATGAAGCAGCTGAGGCTCTTCCAAATCCCAGCAGTTCACCAGAGATTTTCTCGTCTTGCCCTTGCCTCTCGCGGCTGGTCCAATGTTATCTCGGCCTTTTGCTCCGCAGCCAACTTCTATCGCCTCTCTTGCATTCTCATGCCTCCCTTTTGCTGCCTGTACGTGCGATCTCAAATACATTACGGGTTATAAAAGTATTTTGGATGCCGTCGGATGTTTCGATCGGCAGAGAAACTTGGTTCCACTTGGTCAATTCCGGTCCTCGAATCACACTTGTTGTTTTTTTTTTTTTTTTTTTTGTTGATCCTCTTCGATCGACAGAGATCTGCGTTATCGGTCAAATGGTCGCGATCGAGTCGACGAATGATCTACCGATCGCGTTATCGATGACTGAAACGAGCAAAAAATTTTTTTTCACCGTCTCGAATCGACAAGTCACGAAACTTGATTTTTCAACGTTTTTTTTTAAGTACACACAATAAGTAAGTCTCGATCGAAAAGTACGATCAACGCTCTGGAAAAGTAAAAGTTGTTTCAAAATGAAAATATGTGCACCTCACTGGTATACATATAAAACGTCCGTTTCACCGTTTCAGGAATTTCGAACACCTATATATAGAATCGATTACGTCAATGTTAAAGTTCCTTTCTCAAAGGTGATCATACGATTCCCACGAGTTCTTAGAATGATATTTAAAATGAATAAGCACTTTATTTTTTTCACGCACGAGAGAAACTGACACACTTCTTTTTTAACACTAATATTCACTCGTGACAATCGCTTGTAATCCGACTGATTAATCGCCCTCGACAGATTGACTATCGATATACAAAATCCGTTCTCTTTTCCACGTTATTCCAACTTATTTTTCGCTCGTCGACGAATTTTTCTTTCAGATGATCCGTTTAAACGATTCACCCTCTTCGGGACTTCTAAGTACAGAGAACACGGTGCAATAGTTTGTACCTAGTATCTTACTCATGCTGGAAATTTCAATTCGTTCGCTCGCGTCGATTATCAGCTCCGCCCTTTTAGGACTCCGTAAATTAGGAAACAGAAAAGAAAAAATCTCTCTCCTCCAAGAAGTCACTTTGCACACCGTTTTCGTTTCACTTGCGTTTCATGCATCTGCGGCCGCACCGTAGTTTTCTCGCTCACAGAAAGCACCACTTCTGCCTCTGTCGACATAAACTGTGTGGGTTTTATAAGCGTTCACGTTCGAGGAAAAATGACACCTTTCCTTCTCGCATGCCTGGAAATTATTTTCTCGGAAACGTCGCGATTCCTCGGACCTTCTTCGACCGCTTTGTCTGCAACGTGCTCGCGATGGATCTAAGATGGCGTCCAGCCAGCCGTTTCTTTCGAGTCGCGCTTCTAACACTCCTTCTCTTACTTTCCGACCGTGCTCGCTTGAATTATTCTCGCTCGACAACCGCGATCCCCTCGCCGAGTTTCGTGTTAGACCGGTTTGTACGATCACTGTGAAATACTGACAAGTATGCGACAGCTGGCACAAAGCGTTCAACCCAATTACAACGAGATTCCAGACGCGAGTGTATTAAGGGAATCGTTTGGCATTAGCAGAAGACTTGCGCTCTTGCCTGCTTCCATCCCGGTTCAGGGCTGTACTCTTCGTCACCTCTTTTCAGGTACGCCACGTGTCGAGCTCCGTTATCTCGTTTCGAAACGAATACCGACTCGATTACGCTTTGTCAACGTTTCGAGAAACGTAAAACTATTCGTCGAGATACTTGCTGTCGTTTGCTAATTTTCGTGCGAATTCGTGCTGATTTCGTGCGTTCACACGACTTGTCAGCGATTTCTCACAGAACAAAAACTGTTGAAAATTTTTTATCATTTTGCTCGAGTCACGAAACTTATCTTGGAATCTCAAGTTTCGGTTCGATTAAATATCTCAATCGAACAATCGAGTGGAACAATCGATCGAAGCGACATTATCGAAATTTTCCGACCTTTGTACTCTTTATTTCGTACACATTGTCGTACTCTCAAGGGCTAACCATAAACTCGGGGCCCCAATTTTATCGGAGTCGTGCCTGAGATATCCCTACCATTGGGTTCTGCCTCGACCTACGACGACGTTGCCATTCGTGACTCATTTGTTCCCACTAAATCGCCTTCCGTGGCGTGAGGACGGCCCTGTTAATTGTACGGGACTTAAAATACATGCGCCTGTTTTCATGACGATATCTTTTCCATTATCCTTTAAGTAATATACCGGAATATACTTGTTCAAGCGTTGTTTCAACTGCGTTGAAAACCAGGTAAATCGAGCGGTTTGCCTGCTTTTACGATACTCGTCATCTCTCTTTCGCTCTTTCTCCCTCTCTCGCTTAGATTCTCCATCGCAGTATTGAACGAGCCCGAGAGCCTCGTGGTCAATACTCTATTCGAGCTAACTTCTTTTTATCGTCAGCCAGCACGTGCCAACTGTCTGAAACGTTCACACCTAACTCTCGTGCAGTTAGTGGGGGATTTCTTTCCCGTATCCTCTTTTGGTTAACTTCAATTTTAATCCTTCTTAGCTCACTCGACGCGTTAACGACTATTCGAGCTCCGACAGAAGCTTCTCCTCGAGCGAGGTTCGTAAAACAGCGTCGATTTTCAAAATCACAAGTGATGCCGCACGTTCTTCTATATATAGTATCGTTTAAAGATTATGTTTCAATGTTTTAACGATAACAGGGACATGTTTGTTTGAATGAAGACAAGCTGGTAACGCGACACTATCCACCAACTATAGGTCAGATAGTAACGCGTAATCATCAATGACGAAGATATCGTTAATGACCGGGAAAAATCTCGAACTGTGATTAATTTATTCAGTGATACACACTTATTATATATATATATATATACACGAATATGTGTAGAATCAGGAAAAGCGTTAATAAAACGTTTCAAGATTCGTTCTCATTACATCGTTTCTCAGAATTGTTCTTTTTCGATTTCTCTAATCTCGTCAGGAATCGTGGGTTTTTGAATATTTCATACTGCGTTCGAGAATTCTTGGATGTCGTCATTATATACCGGCCAAGAGATAGCGAAACTTATGTAAGGTGAATATTGCAAATTGCGTAAGCGTTGACACGCAATTTCACGCGATCAAAATCGCGACGCTTATAATTATATGCGCCTCTCATTTTTCCAAATGGAGGAATCATAGGATTTCCGGTTAGGTGACACGTGTTTCGAGTTTATCTCGTTTATCATAGTTCCTTTATCCGATCACGTTTCACGTGTGCGTTTTGCCATTTTATTTGATCAAATAAAGTCCTGTATATCTACTCTTATTACGAATTCGTCTATCCGATCATCGGTCACGTTTTATCTGCAAACATCTAGGAATTCGATGTTTGCAACACGATAATGTCTTGTTGTTGAATTAGCCGTTAGTTTCATCGATAGCTCGAATGATAGCTTCTTTGAATTTTTGAAGGAGATGCATACAATTGAAACGCGAGCAATGATTCGATGCTCCTATTAAAAGTCGAACGACAAGTCATTACTTTCCTATTATCGAGGAGTCGAATCGTGTCGAAATTTTACAAGAGTTTCTTTTTTCTCTTACATTATTTTTTCAAGAAAATTATCTTATCGATCACGTTTTTTTTTTTTTTTGTTCAAACAAGAAATTTTTATTTGATCGATCGAATCGTCGAGACGATTTATTTCGATTCCCGTAAGATATCTCCCGTAAAGAAGAAAGAGTTTTCCTCGTTTCTTATCAAAAGTGTCACTGAACAAACTCTCGAACGATTTACGCGATAAATCGTTTGGCAAACTCGAGTTCAAATTCAGAATAAATGCCACGGAAGACAGACCCGTCTCGGCCTCCATGCTATTTTCGAGTAGTGTCGTCGACCGATTCGATGAAAATCGTCTCATATTCTACTCTTATTCGCTCGCTCGCCTCTCGCTACTCGCTTCCTGCGAATTTAGAGGCGGGCTCGTCATGGCCGTTTGAACTTTTCGGATCTATAATAATCCAGTGACTCGACCCTGATTTCGCCTCTGGTCGAAACATCGGCCATTTCCAACACCGGAATTATTAACTATTTTATTTACGACGCGTGCATGATCCATGCGAAATCATGCGCGCGTGGAATATCATATTTGGAGAGGTGCGATTAATGGCAATTATAGATCTGACTCAAGGTTGCACACCGAACCACTGTTATTTTATTAAACGGAATCATTCGTTTCGAGAGAAATGTTCAATGATTACATGGAAAATTATTATTTCAGCGTCTACATCTATTTTTGTAATCAGGAAAATCAAACTACGACGAGTTTTCAAACGAGTGTATCTTTGTATCTTTTCTTACGATCTTTCTCGGCCGAGATAAAGGCCGAGAAAAAAAATTACTTTGATTTGTGAATGATGTCTGATTGCAACGCGTAACCTTCGGGGTTATCACGAGCCACGAGATTTCTATATCTGTTGAATTAAGAACGAAAGAGTTTGATCGACAAGGAAATATTGTCGATTCTTGTCGAGGAAGATATAAAAATATCTTGAATTGTTTTTTTGCGAGCGATAAAGAAAGTTGTTATTCACGATTAGAATTTTAGATTGTTTAGATAGAGAAATCTCTTATATCTTAGAGATTAATTAGAGAAGATATTTTTCATTTCTCATGAATCTCTCCTTTCGTCGAGAAAAGTAAACGCGTTTATTATAATTAGATATGTTGCGATGATTGCATAAAAAGATATATAATTATAGTTCGCTAAGGAAAGCTTGCCTAATTTTAGCGAAATTTCTCAAAGTGTGTTTCTTCACACAGTGAAAGAAGACGTCACGGATCAGACGCGAGAAAATATTACGAATATGCAACGATAAAGTGCGTTGATAAGGTTGACGAACTGTTATTATCGATAAAGCGACTAAATAGATAAAGCAACCATGTAGAAAATAACGTAACAACATGTAGAAAACAACGTAGCAATGGAAAAATCGATAGCGTTAATTAGATCGTTCGATTAAAATTAAAAAGACGATTATTAATTATTGATTGATCAAAACATATAGTTATCTGTATCATTTACGATTCTTAATCTTTAAATAACAATTAATCAATTATATTTATTTGAAATAACATTCGATATCTACCAATTAATACTTTGATACGTCAATTGACGAGATTTTTTTTTTCTTAGAGCTTTTAATCTTTTAAATCGTTATATTAGAACACTTTGGACCGAGATCTCGGCCACTTCATAACTTGGTTCGTTAAATACGTCACCTCTTAATTGACGAATCGTTTCGAGTGGACAATGGTCGTTCGTGAGATAATTAGGGCAGCAATGCGTCCGCCACTTTGAATTCCTAGCATTTTTGGCCACGGGCGACAACATTTCGAAGAAGAAAATTCGCGAAAAAAAAAACTGTAAAATTTCCTCTTAATCTTAATTTTATATTATTTTATTTTTTTCTTCCATGAAAGAAGATCGCACTTTTTCAATTTCTCAATCTCGAGTTAACTTATCTTCCGAATCGAACAAGTTTTCCTTGAATTTTCTCTAATATCTTTAATGTATGATCGATCAATTTGACTTTGCAAAAGTTTCACACGCAAGAAATTATAATTCGTCATTCCCAGATCGATAATAATCTTCGCGTTCATTGTCAAATTTCATCGAGATTACTGCACGTTTTAATTGGACGACGTGTTAGAACGAAGGAAACTATTTCGCGTTATTTTTACAACGAATAGTAAATATGGATTATCTGTCTGGTTTATGACAATTTGAACGCACGATTCGTGTACCATATTCGTGTACCAATACTTTTAATTCCTATCGTCCAAGCCTCCAAGCAAAATTTTCGAATCGTTTCGATCTCGTATCTATTCGAGATTGTCTCGCGAGTATTGGCGTAACATTGAGCAACCGGAGACCGGTCGACGACTGACGCAAAGGAAAGTTTCGCTGTTACTTTTATAACGTGACTATAACGTAAACACTTCGTTCGCCTCGATACGCCGCAACGATTCATCATCGATCTCTTCGCTTCGCTTCGAGGATTATAATCCCACCATCCCATTGTTAAATATAATTAATTTTAATTAGAAAATTCGAATCGAGAGTTCGAGAATCATTCTCGAAACTTCTTCCAAATTAACCGATCCCAAATTCCAAATTGAATAAAATTCGGAGAAAGCGTATTTAAACCATACTCTCCCCCTCCCGAAGGAGACAGAGGCCCGTGTAAAATCCATTTCCACCCAGCAACCATCACCAAGCAACGATTCAACGTTAAAATAACAGAAGCCTACCGTCGTCCATGGTGTTGGTTGTCCTCTCGGCTCGGAGGAGGCTCGTACGAATTCGGTGTTATCCGCTTTCTCTAATGCGACCGTGATGACGTTTGTCGGATTGTCGGCGGGCATTTAAACGCGATCGAGGAACCAAGGATTTGCTGGGCATCGCGCGCGATCTTCGATTTTCTTTCGCTTCCGCGGTGTCAGCAACCGGGCAACATAATTTTCTCGCGGTGGCACGCGCAGCTGCGCCGTCACGGTGAAACGCTACGCGACCGCGCAGAAAAGCAGCAGGGACGCGCAACGGAGCGCCGAGCAACACTGCTCGTCGTCGCCTCGCTCGATCCTCCTTCCGTTACCGAGTTGTAATCGCTCTTCGGTACCGGCGATCCGCTCGCTTTCCCGCCGCTCATTGGCCGACCAACCGTTCCTTATCACCGAAGCCTCTTATCTATCAGATATTTACCGATCTTCGCCCAATTGCCTGCGATTCGAATCCAATTTTTTTTATTCGCGATCGATCAACCGAGGTGGCCATTTTTTTTCTTCCTTTTTTCCTTTTTTTTCTTCTTCTTCCTTTCGATAAAGCTCGTCGAGGACTTATATATATATATATATATATATATCCGAGAGACGATAACGGGAAGAATAGTTTTCTTTAAGGTAATGTGTGTGGAAATTTGACGAGTTTTTTTCTCTCTCTCTTTCTTTCTTCGACTTTTTCTCGAAGAAGGAAAGAAAGCGTCGAGTCGAGGATCGGTGAAATCGGTTGTTCGAATTTTTATTTCGTCTTTCAATTACTATTTTTTTTTTTTTTTCATTTCGATCGTTTTGTCTCTAATTGCATTATTTTACTGTGCTACGATTCGTATATTGACTCGTCTCACTCATTTCTTTTCTCTTTTGCGTTCGTTTTTTTTTCGCTGATCTTCCTTCGATCTTTCCTTAATTTCTCTTTACGCTCGAGTTTTTTTTTTTTTTTTTTTAAGTAAGAAGCGATTCCAGCGGGAGAATGGTCGAGGATGCGTACGAGGAAAAAATTGTACAGACTTGGTTTTATTCTCTACGAGACAAAGTATACTTTTTTTTTTTTCTTTTTTTAAAGCAATCAACAAGACACATCTGACATGTTTAAGTGGTCTACAATGGTTGCCAGTCCTGCTATTTTGTTACAATTAAAATTCCGGAACAGGATTCGTTTATTTATTAGACGCGTGAGTATATTAAATAGTTAATTAATATATAATAATTATAAATATATATTAGAATTTCTCTCTCTCTCTCTCTCCCCTTTTTTCTTCCTTTCCATATACTTTTTTTTTTTTTACTTACTCCACGTATTCCCTAAATATGATTAAATCCTAACGGATTTTCGCACGCATTAATTCCAACTCGGCTTCCCGATGACGGTTTTAATAACAGTTTAATCAATTAACCGATATTAAAAAAAAAAAAAAAGAAGAGTATTATCTTTTAGAGCCAACAAAGATATAAAAGAAAACAGAACGAAAATAAAACGAGGAATCTCTTCTATTTACAGATTACGCGATAGCACGCGAAACGAGCTGAATCTCATTTACTAAATCGAATGGAACAATTTGCTACTTGGATTGGACTAGGTCACGAATGAATCTTAACAACTTTAATAAATGGAAAAGAAATCGATCTCGATCCGCTCCAACGGATCTGCGCCACGGACCCACCACGCGTTTCCATCACGAAACACGCAACGGCTCCTCCTCCCCTCAGAAATCCTTTTTCTTATCCTTGTCGACCAGCACGTTGTCGTGATAGCTGATTTCTTGCCCGGCGACAGCCGGATGAAGATAATGGGGTTCCACGTCGATCTTCTCCTTCACGTCCGAGTCCAAAACCATGGAATGATGAGGCCCACGAAGCATGGTCGTGGTGTAATGCTGAGGCTGCTGCTGTTGTTTCCCGCTCGATTGATGTTGATGCTGGTGGAGACGTTGATGGGAGTGTTGCTTCTCCTCCTCCTGGCCGTACTTGTCCAACAACTCCCTCAACTTGTCGAAATCGATGTTCTCGTCCAGCTTGGAGAACAACTCCTTGGTCCCCGATTGGCCCAACTTGGCCGAGTCTTTCAACTGCTTGAAGTTCTGCATGAATCTCTCGTTCGCCTGGACACCGTCCCTGCTCGTGTTCTTGGAGAAGTTCAAGTTCGGATTCTCCAACAGGTCGGGCATCTCGTGGACCACGTTCACGTTCTTGTCCAAATTTTCGTCGGTCAACGATTGCAGCAGAGTGTTGTAGTCCGGCTTGATGCGAGATGTTTCCATGCACGAGGTGCACGAACAATTGGTGATGATTTGGACCTTCTTCTGCATCGTGATAGGATTGTTCGTCTCGTCCTTGCAGTCCAACGTAACCTGTACCGATTTTCGAACGCGTGGAGAGAAAACTCGTGTCTGAACATCTTCGTCCAAGATTCGATTCCATCGAACGAAGAATCTGTTCTTTTATTATTCCATTTCATTTTATTTATACCGTGTGCCAAACGCTGTCCAACGGTTGACAGGAGTCGCAGTAAGGCCTGATCAGATCACCGGGGGCTGAAGGCTCGCTGTGCGGCACCATGTAGGAGAAGCAAGCTCCCACGCACACGTTGTTGTCCAATTCCTGGGAGGAGCACTGCGGCCACGTGACGACCTGCTTTATCTGGGTAGTCTGACACCAGCTGTGCTTGTCCGGATACAGCACGATGTTGTGAACCTTGAAACGAGTCAAAGCCGAGTTAACGTTGAGAAAGAGGAAGAGAGGAGAAGGAGGGGAGGAAGGAGTAGTGACGTTTCACTAGGGGAAATCGGTATCGATGAACCTTGTGCTCACGATGGGCGTGTAGAGTGGCCGCTCCAAGGAGCAGCGCGACCACCACCGTCAGACGACACGTCGATCCCATGATCCCTGAAACAACAGAGGGAGAGAGAGGGAATCTTTCCGGGGCGTTTGTAAATTAGTCAGTTGCCAGGTAAGAAGAAGGAGAGTTTCTGCGCGGAGAAGAGAGAGTTTCCGTCCAACTACAACAACTCCGACTTTCTCCGCTCGTTTCTTTTCACGAACGAAGGAATTTCGCGATTACGATTCGAGCCGCGGCGTGGATCGTGGTGCACGTGTGCACGCATCGCGTTTATTCGCTCCTCCCCACCCCGAATGAATGAAAGTCCCTTGCTCCGTGCCTCTCTTTCTCACACTCTCACTCTCTCTCTCCTTCTCGTGGCGAGGCTCAGCCGAGGTCTCAGGTTCGACGACCGTCTGAAATTACGTCACCGGGATTTGTCGTGGTGCCGCTTCTCTCGTGCCCCTTGCTTCCTTTTTTTCCCCTCTCTTTCTCTCTCCTCGCGTGAATTTGTTCGTTCCTCGCGTGAATTTTTAGTTTAAAACACGCGGCGCTGATGGCGTTATATCCTCTCGTAAAACTCGTGACGAGGATCGTGGATATTTTTCTCCCCCCCCCTCTTTTGAGGAGACCTTATAGAAGGGGAGACAGAGAGGGAAGGAAGGAAGCTAGGACAACGAGATCGAGTTCATTCATAAATCGTTAAGGCTGATTCCCCGATCGAGAGGGGAAGAGCGGGATGCTCGAGTTTTAAGTCGCCGAGATTTTAAGATAACGGGATTCCATGCGGCCTGGCCTGGAGATCACCGTGGATGGAAAAACGAGACTTTCTCGTGACGATAAAGTCCCGGCCGTAAATACCGGTGGATTTCGGCTACGAGGTTTGAATACATTTGTTCGGGGCGACATTTTTTCTTTTTTTTCTTCCCCTCCCCCCCCCCTTAAGATTCAGATCGGATGATGATTCGACGAGCGAAGAAACATTCCCCGTTCGAATTTCAATTTTTCACGCGATCGAAAGAAAGAAGATCGAGGAGAAATAAATATGGATGGATGGAGGAACGAAGGAAGCGAGCGTTCGATCAGCGAAGCTTGCTTGCGAGCTCGTTTTATTTTCGCCAGGCGATCGGTAATGAAGCAATAATTCCGCGATAAAAGGGACCAAAAAGAAGAATTACGGTGCGTGTGCGTGAGCGTGGAATGGATGGGGTTGGGGGGGGGGAGGAGGAAGGAGGGGGGAAAAAAAGCGTCAATCTCATCGTACGATCTTTCTTGATCTCTCGGAGACGAGCACGGGAACAAGTGGTACGAACGACGAGGTAAAAGGATGTGCAGGCCCAATTACCACAGTTCGGCCCCTTTTTTTGGCCTCTCGAAAAATCTCGGATCCATTTCACCGTTGGAGCCAACCGTGCATCCCCCGTCCTCCCCCCGGCTCCTTCAGGAATTTACTTTGTCGTTCGACTCGCGAGTTGAATTCCTGACAACGGAAAGAATTCTCGTCCCCCCTCTATCTATCCGACAATTGGCCGCCGGTATTTCCAGGAGGAGATCAACTTTTCGTTCCCCCTCCGATGCATTTCAATCTCGACCCCTTTTCTTATTCTACCCTCTCGGGTTTCCTATTTATCCATTTTTCTTCGTCCTTCTTTATTCCCCCTCCTCTCTTCCTTCCATCCCTTCCACAATTCCAAGAAGCAACGATTATTATTATTATTATTATTATTATAGGTTTAATTTGTTGCAAGGTTGGCACGGGGAGAGAAGAAGAAAGAAGAAAAAAAAAAAAGAAAAGAAAGGAATCTCGAAGGATTATCGACGAAACAACGACGTGACAACGACGCGGCGTTCAAATTAGCTTAAAGATACGATAAAGATGCGAAAATTAGAGCTCTCGGCTCGATTCTTGTTGAATCACCCTGTACGTGGCGACGGGGGGAGGCGTCCGACTACACAAGGCGTCCGGCGGCCGCCCATCTCATTTCCACGAGCGGAGATTTGAATGACCGAGTAGGATACGACAGGGACGGATCCGTCGAACCGTTAAACATTTACGCGTCCTTTCCCTTCTCCCCTCCTTCCCTTCTTAACCAAATTTCACCATCTTTCTCCACGTATCTCGTCGAGCACGTCAACGTTCGATACGCACGAATTCGATTTTCATTTCCCACCTCTTTCTGCCCCACCATCATCGCTTTTTTCCTCGCTATCCACGACTCTTTCATAACTCTATCTGTGCCTCTGTCGTAAACGAGATCATTACTATAGATGTAAATCGAGGAAATAATTGGGGGAGCGCGCGGAACGATGGTGGAAACGAGAGACAAGGGGGAAGGAGGATCGAGATAAATACGGCCCTGGCCGTCGGGTCGCAGCCAGAAGTCGAAAGCTCTTTGTTGCTGCGCCACCTTCTCTTCTCGCCTCTAGGTCCATGTCGGTGGCATGGAGGACCTCCGCTCCACCTCCTTCTCCACCTTCCAGTCCCGTTCCTTCGATTTGCTCGTGTCGTCGAGGGACGAGGGACGAAGACAGGCTGCAGGCGGGACGGAGCGAGGCCGTGGAGCGGAGGCAGAGAGAGACGGGTGAGGGTCCTGCGCCCAGCCGCGAGATTAATTTGATTTTCAACCAAATTTGACGCGCCCCCAAGCCTAGGCGGCCGGCCACAAAGAGAGGATCCGTGTGTGCCACGAGATATCCTCGCTCGCGGGACCTTTTAAAAAGCACCGAGGGGATTAAAAACCCTCGAGTTTCGAGGGCTCGAGCTTAACACCTACTACACGAGAGGGCCGCGGACGTGACGTGCCGCGTTTCCAGGAAGCTTCTAATAGGAATTCATATTTCATATTCGGGCTTTCTCTCCCTGGCGGAGAGAAGAAGAATTATGGCTCGCCCGGCAAACGAACCGAAACGAAACGCTTCGACTTGCCGAGAATCGAGAATATATATAAAGATATATATATGGTCGGTCGTTATTAAACAATCCGTGAGATTTCGTTGCTCGAAAGCCGTCGAAAAATGTGAAAATTTAATTAATTTTTCTAAATTTAACGAGAGAGAAAGGGGAGAAGAGAGCGCGATTGGACCAAAGTTCGTACGGCCCTGATGCCCGAGGCACGCGAGATATTTTCATGATCTCTTTGCCGATGTGCCACCACGGTGGTACTTAGACGAGGGGAACAGGATAAAGAGAGGGTAAGTAGGAAGGGAGAAAGAGAGAAAGAGGAACGCTAGGAGTAAAATGGTTCGAGTCGTTCGACCAATGGTAACGTCGAGGAATATAGAAGGTATAGGTATAGGAGAACGTTGGAGAAACGGACTTGGTATCAAAGGACTAGAGCTGTTGCTGCTGCTACTACTACTATTACTACTACTACTACTACTACTACTATTACTACTCGTACTCCTCGCAACGATCGCCTTCGCCGTGCCTTCATCTAGCCGTACCCATAAGTGGAAGAATGACTCGCTGCTGTTACTCGAGTCGGCGTTTCTTATTTCTTTTCTCCCTATTTTTCTATTTCTCTCCTCGTTGCACGAAAAGGAAAGGGAAGGGAAGAACCGATAGATACGCGCACGCCCCCGTACCGACCGAAGGTCGGTCGAAGAAAGATCGAATACGCGATATAGGCGAGCGTATAATTTTCGCGATACGCGATACGCGCTCCTCCGGATTTTAATGAGAAATCCCTATCTCTCCCGATTCGGTCTAGCCCAATTTCGCATTTTGCGACCGTCCTTCGCTCCTCTTTTTTCCCTCGCGATACGGTGCCGTGGCCGAACTAATAGGGAGGGCCCGCAGGGTGAGGGTCCGGAAGGGGAGGGGGATAAAAAAAAGAGGGAGGAGGGCGCGGAACGCGCCAAAAGAAAGAGAGGGGGCGAGAATGGAAGGCGGGCGAGATGGAGCGAGCGAGAGAGAGAGGATGGAGGAGGGTCGGAAGAAAAAGAAAAGAATAAGTTTGCCAACAGCACCGGAGGAAGCCCCGAAAACACGCTGGACGTGTGGCGCCATCTCGGCTCCTTTTTTTTCTTCCTCCTTCTCCGCCACTCGCCGCGCACACCCCCCATGCTTGTTCCTCGTGCTTTTGTTACCTCGCCCATACTAATTCTTCGCGAGCTGCACGGCGTGCCCGGAGTGCGTGGGGAGAGAAATCGGCGAGAGAGAGAGGGAGGGAAGGAGGGAGGGGGGACGGGCCCCGAGCATCGAGGTGGAAGGGGGGCCCCTGTGCATCGACCAGTGTCGGATTAAGCTGCTTTCGCACCCTCTTCGTACCTTCGATTAGATCGCAATTTTAAGCTCGCCGAAATTTCGACGCGCACGCCCCGTCGCGGTTCCTCGCTTTCGTTCCTCTCGAACGTGCCCACCTTGCCAACTCGATCGTCTCCTCCTCCCCCGTTCGACGTTTAACTTTAGACGTGCCGATTAAACCGAGAACGAGAACCGTCGTCGAATGGAGAACCGCTCGAAATACGACACGGCCGACGCGGTGAGATTTCTTAACACCTCCGTGGTGGTTCACGCACGAGCTGCGCGAAACGATCGAGTCCAAAGAGCTTTTTTTCCTCTCTTCTTTTTCTTTTTTTTTTTTTTTTTTTTTTTTCCTCTTCCTCCCCGACTCGCAAAGAGAGAATCACGCGGATGTAAACGCGACCGCTGAGCTAGGAGAGGGGAGGGAGAGAGAGAGAGAGAGCAAAAAGAGGAAAGCGCTGGTGTGCGTACCGCCTTAAGAATTCTGTCTCGGTGTGGTAGCCCCCTCGAGAGCGCGGACCACATACCTGCAAACGAACGTTCTTAAAAGGGAGGGCAGAGCCCAAGAACAGGTCGTTAAAATGTAATGACATTGTTGTTTTTAATGCTCGCCTCTTTAAAACGGGCCCTTTCGTCTTCCTCGAGCCTACCCGCTACTACCTCTTTCGTTCTCTCTTCCTATTTCTTTTCCCGTTTTCCAGCACACATGGAAAAAGTATCGATCCACGCGAGTTTTCTCTCCGTTTCCTCTCCCCCTTTCGATTTCCCTCCTTTTCTCTTTCTTCCGCCACGCTTCGAACGATTCTATCCTCGAAAAGAGGATACGAGATCGAGAGAGAGAGAGAGAGAGAGAGAGATCTAAAGCGAAAAAATTTTCCTAAATCTTCCTTCCTCTCCGCGCGCGAAACGCGTCCGATCGTCGGAAATCGTCGTTTCAACGATCTCACCGCGAGATGACACTTCTTCGCTTTCGTCGCTTTTGCAATCCTCGCCTCGAGGTGACTATCCGAGTGGTATCCACGGACTCCTCTCCTCTCCCACTCGAGAAACCTTCGATTTTTCTCGGCTCGTTACACGACAAGCGTCGTCCAACGTCGACGAATATATTTTTAAAAAGGAAAAGAGATACGCGCGCGCGCGTGATCGTCACGGTCAACCGGTGGATTCTTTTTGTGCAAGATAACCGCGCGCGACTCACTCAACGAAACAGTTGGAGAGGATATCGATCGAGAAGGATCACCGGCCGCCACTGGCCATTTTCTCCGCTCCAATTACACGTCGAAAGGCGCGAACGCGAGCGTCGTGCGTTGGCGAGCGGTGGTCCATTTCCAAACGCTGTGGCTTTTAAAAAGAGAATCGCGTCGTGTAATTAACCATTCTCCGTCTGGGAAGAACGAAGAGAGATTGATCGATGATATTACGAGCCGTTTACGAGGCGAACGAACGCGTTCGATAATTCGATTTGAGTTTGTCGATCGGTGTAATTCGTTCGTATGGAATCGTATCGTTTCCTTCCACACTCGCGATTCTCGTACCGCGTCGATAAGTTTCGAGTTTCCTCTCCTAGCGTGTTGAAACTCGTTCGTATCGCGGATACGATATCATCTGGCGAGAATGTTTCGCGGCCAGATGGATCTCTCCGTCGATACGTTTCGCGCGTGGAAAGATATTTTTCGGGCGATTTCGGGGGTTAATTAAACGGGACGCGGCGAGTCGCGAAAGGTCTTCATTAGGGAAGGATCCGATGGCGAGTTGGCTACCGCGCAACAGTTTAGCTCGAAAGTTAAGCGTTGCTGGTCTAAGAAGAGCTATCATTAACTCGAGAATAGGGTCTGGTATTAGGATTAGTGGGCGAAACGTTTCGGATAGGGTGTTTCTCGACTATTTAACCGCCCGAGCCCCTGTCCCCTTGGCCACTTCTCGATGGTCGGTGATCGTAGCAACTTCTCCCCATCGCAGCTCCATTCTCGAGGAACGGAAAAGCAGATCGTGACGCGAGAAAAAGACGCGAGCGACGCAACCTACACCTCGTTCCCCACCTTCCGTACGTTCGTCGATCGATCCGCTTCTCGAATCGTCCGTGATATAACAACAACAACAACAACAACAATCGATCGGTAAACTCGTCGCGTCTCCACGATCTTGTCGACGATCGAATGTACGATCGGACGACAAACTGGTCGTCCCGTGTAGAGCGCGCACATCACGTAGCAGTCTCTCTCTCCGGCAACTTGTGGCAACTGATCTCGAGAGGCGCATACGGGCAGCAACGTAAGGCCGCTCCGCTTTTCCGAACAAACTGTCACTCACCTCCGTCCACGTTGCGAAACTACGCACCAATTCTAGATATTTTATGCCGCGGGCACACAGGGTCGATCGAAGGAGTGCGGATAATCGGACGGGTACGGCGATTACGCGTAAATGGACGATCTCTCCGCGCGATTTTTCACTCCTCGGCCGGGACCCTCCCTTTCTCGGCCGGCCGGCGAAAACGAGGGGGGCGGAGGCGAGAAAGAGGGAGGGGGAGGGAGGAGAGGGCCGATAGCGAGAAATTTGACGAACGATTCCTCCTCGACGAGACACGGGGGGAGAGATCCGATACGAACCGTTGAGCCGAACCGAGCTGAGCTGAACACGAAACTGTGCTGCCGATCTCTCGTGTTCCGTTCTCCTCCTCCTCCTCCTCCTCCTCTCGCTCCACCTCCACCACCACCACCATCCGAGTCTCCTTCAGCTCCTCCTTCTACTCGGTACGTTTGGTTCCGCGCCGTTCCCGTTCCGTTCTCTCTCTTTCTCGTTCCCCCGGTTCCTCCAGGTATTCTCGTGGAAACAGAAAGAGAAAGGAATCGAACCGTGATGGAGAGGGGAGGAATCAACGGTAAGCAAGAGAGATCTTTGACTACCTCTCTACAACGACGACGTCGCGCGTACTGTAAAAAGCGAGATCGCCCGAGGCCTTACACCTCGAACCAGTAAAACTTGTACGCTAGTGTCCAAGTGCGCTCCTCCCGGAGTTTCTCCTCTTCCTCTGCCTCCATGCCTCGCTCTTGCCTCGCTCTCTCTCTCTCTCTCTCCTTTTGCGCGTATACCAGCGATCTCTCACCGTCAGATATCGTACGACGACGAGACGAAAAATCAACTCGTCGCGCGATCGATGAATTCGAGGGAGTAGGTAGCGAGTGAGAGAGTGAGAGAGAGAGAGATACGATGATACATGGAATCGAAAGATCGAATCGATATAGCAAATTTATTTACGATAAATTTTTTTCTTTCCCCTCCCTCTCTCGATCGAATCGCGCAAAAAACTATCGACTAGACCCAATCGTCTTTGGTTTCAACGAACGACGACACGCGTGTCGTTTCTCGTGTCTCTCTCAGCGTCTTTCCAATTCGAAGGTCAGACCGTTGCACGTATGGTGCGTCGCGTGTCGGAAGAGCACAAATTTGTACAATTTCTCGCTCCACCCAGCTCTCTTTCGGGGGTGACTCGGTCACACTTGGTCAACGCTCACTCGGTCGATTCGACTTTTCACGGCGTCGTTCGATACGGCGATTCGTTTAACGACGGGGCCCAAATCGGTGTTGAGGTATTCCCTGAATTGCAGGCACTTCTCTCTCGTGTTTATATCGTCGGAACTTCCCCAAATGATAAAGCCATCGGCGCCGAGATCCGTGATCTTTCGTAAGGTTGCCTCGAGGTCAGCCTGCGGAGGTAAATTTCATTTTCCAGAATCATTAATCGCTCGCCTCCGATTTGTATTATCCATCGACGCGAACTCTTTCGAAATTCTCTTATTTGTTTTTCGAAAACAACGATTTTTACTTACCCTGGTCAAATCCGTGTCCCTTCGATCCTGATACTTGTACCAGTAATAGGGTAGAACCTTCTTTCTGCCCGTCGTCATTTGCCTCGCTATTCTCAACGCTTCCTTCACCCGGCCACCGACCAGGCCCACTCTTTCACCGCTCGTCAGACTCCATCTCAAGTAAACGGACGGCAGGAGGACGTGTTGCGACTCGAACAGCCATGACATTCTGAATGGGGCAAGCGAACGATTTCTGGTTGCCTTATCGGGCACCGATTAGATAACACCGTTGTAACTCCCTTTAAATTTTCACCGGGACACGAGTCTTGACACTGACCCACTTAACCCACTACGACACGAGCGTTGCACGCGTTCGACGATTCGTAATCTCGTTAAACCTCGATAAATCTTTTTT